CTGCATTGGAGCTGTGCTCTCGGTGCTCTTCTTCAGATCCAGGTTGAACTGTTCCCACTAGGATTCAGAGGCATTCACCGTTGCTTTAGTGACAGTCAGTAATTCACTGCTGACTGTCACTAAAGCAACAGATGCAGATTTCCCCAGTGATTCATATTTTGTTCAGTTTTAATGTACAATGTTTGACGTTAACTGCCAAACGTTTCCCTGTATCATATGGATGATGTTAGCATAGCCAGTCTGAAGAAGCAATAACCAGATTAAGAGCCAACAAACTAAATTAAACTTATTTAAAATATATAACACATGATATGAACATTAGATGGTTACGGCGTTTTAATTATTCACCATAAATGCTTTGTATGAGTACATGTTGCTATCATTGAGTCATTTTCCGTTTTCTACCGGCGTTCTTTCAATAGGATTTCACTTGTGATCTGATATGAAAACTTGTGTAGCCTACAGTATGTAGTGATCACACCTGAAAGCTGGTATGAAAACAACAGGAGAACGGGTCGTGCTGCTCCTCAAAACGGGCCGTGAGAGCGAACGTATCTCTACGGCTCTAGTGATCTGACCCAGCCTCCACACAGATCTGGTTCTTGGTTCCAGTTCAGCAGTGCTCTGGTTCCTAACACCAACCAGTTTTGCTCATGGAAACAATGAAAGGACTGGTGAGCTATCGGGCACTAGCTCTGAACTGACCCTGGAACTGCTTTGGTGGAAAGGGGTAATAGAAATAGGAACAGATTCATCAATAACTGCAATAATCCTCAGGTGGATAATATCCTCACTCTCATGGAGGGTTCGATCACATGGGACACTTTATTCAAATCAGTCAGACCTTTATTCCTGATATAAAGAGCACATATTTACGTGTTGTCTGCTTGGCAAACCTCCTCGGGCCCACATGCAGTGTCATTAGAGAGGACTGCAGACAGAGAACAGAGTTCAACAGAGCAGGGCTCTGCGCTGGGCCCTAAGTTGGGCATCTCTGAACCGGCTATTATAGCGCCACCTTGGAGGAGAATGGAGGTAATGATATTACACTTCAGTAACTACAGGCAGAATTTAAGATAGGGAAACAACAGACATGTTTTAATATCACATTTAACTTAGAGGATCCCTTTCTTTGGGAACCCCCAGACCAGCTTACCTGAGCCTCTGCATCCACTCAGGTCTCGAAGAGTAGATGTTCCTGCAGGATGCTCCCAGGTATCCATCACTGTGCCACCGACTTTTGAAGAAATGTTCTAGTAAAGGATTAAACAGAATGTATTTGTATGTATATTATTTATTTAACAGGGACATTGCACACTAAGAACCATTTCTGTAAATGTGCCAGAGTTAGCCAAGAGGCTCTTTTACAGCTGTAGTCCCTGGACAGATGTTTGAACCTTAAAAACACATTTAAAATAACAAGTAAATACAATCAGTGAAAACAAAGGTAACCTCAACACTGTACACATGAATGAAAGTGTTCTATAGATGCCACTTCTGATATATTTCCTCCGATGTTAGGACATGAAGTAACAGTGAGAGCAGTGGTGAGCTCCTTCATTATTCCAGATTGATATTTCGAATGAACTCCTTTGTCCACTTGAGGGCAGGAAGGAGCAGAACCACCAGCCCCTGGTGCTGTGAGTCCAGCCTGCCCCCGTTAGCTCTGCATGCTAGCAGCTACATGTGTCACTGATAAGAACTCTCTGTGTCTTCATGCTAACACATGATGCTGAGTGACTTCTGCTTCCTGAAACTCTAAGGCTGTGTATGACATTATTTCTGACACCTATCTCTGTTTAGAAGTGAAAATAAGAAGAGAGTTTTCAAAGGAGAGGCTTAGATGAGCAAACAGACTGCACTTGATCTTCTCCATTCACCTATCCATGCTGAACTGAAAGCTGGTTCTGTATTCATATGAATGATGTCTGATAGTGATACAAAGGAATAATGGATCACACACAGCCTCAGTTCTCATTTCTCAGGGTGGTTAGGGTACAGAAGTCTTCTCAGGGATCAGTTCTCTGGGGATGGTAACTCTAAACATCGGTGAGGCTGAAGGGTTAGGGTTAGGTAACAGCCTCATGTCATACTTACTAAACTAGCAGGAAACTTAGGGGCATGATATGTATGGAAAGCAGCTTGCAAACCATAATTGTAGAATACCCAATTCACCTGAAAGCAGGAACAGAGAGAGAAATATTAGGAAATGCTTCCAACATTTTACAAATAAACTTTGATTTGAAGTTGTCTTTGCCACACAATGTCTTTGAAATGTTCATTTTGTACAAACAGCTGGACAGCCAGTCAGTGTGTAACAGGGATCGGATCAGGACTCACATTCTGTGTAGCACCAGTGAAGAACTGAATGAAAAAGTAACCCAGTGCCTGGGTTTTGATGTTAACAAGAGAAGAGTGAGGGGTAACTGATCTCTTTATTATATTGTAGATCACTTTGTCTGAAGCCACCCCGTCGTTGGACACCACACAGTCAATGTCGTCCTCAGATGGGTCATTTTTTAAACAAACTTCATTCTTATTGCCGATCTTGAGCTGCAAAAACAAAAAAAGGAACTACAATATGAAGGCTTTCGCTCCAAAACAACATCGTTTCATCTCCTCAAATGTCTGAGCTGCAAGGTGTGCTTTGAGCTACGGAGAAAAAGGATAGGATCAATTATGAGATCAAAACATTTCTCTCACTTTGGAAAAAATCTTTCTACAAGCCACTGTCCAACAAGTCTTTATGTCTCCTTTCATACAGAGACACATGTGGAATCAAAGAGACGCGTCCAGCTGCTCCAAACCACTTCCTGTTGGCTCTAGTAATGATCTGTCCCCACTCCATTGAACTGATCTGATCAGTGCCTGACCCCATAGACCCCATAGACCCCATAGACCCCATAGACCCCTATAGACCCCATAGACCCCATAGACCCCATAGACCCCATAGACCCCATCGACCCCATAGACCCCAGAGGGAAATGTTACGCTCACTTTCCAGCTCCGGACCAGACTCACAGTGATGCATTCTGGGACCAAGCCTGTCTCAGTGCGTCTGATATTGAATAATATGAGGGGAAACTTTTATAATACCCAAAATAACAGCTGGCACAAAAAGCACACACTTTAAACTTTGTGTCTAATACTCAATTCATTCTCTGCCTTTAGCAACATGTCATTATTCATTTGCTCCCATATTTACAGGCTGACACGCTGAAAGGTAACAAACCGCTTACATTATATATAAATACAATCAAGACAAACACACTAGTGACTGATTCTGAGGACTGTGAGTTAGTACATATTAAACAGTGAGTTAGTACATATTAAACTGTGAGTTATAACATATTAAACAGTGAGTTAGTACATATTAAACAGTGAATTAGTACATATTAAACAGTGAGTTATAACATATTAAACAGTGAGTTAGTACATATTAAACAGTGAGTTAGTACATATTAAACAGTGAGTTAGTACATATTAAACAGTGAATTAGTACATATTAAACAGTGAGTTATAACATATTAAACAGTGAGTTAGTACATATTAAACAGTGAGTTAGTACATATTAGACAGTGAGTTAGTACATATTAAACAGTGAGTTATAACATATTAAACTGTGAGTTAGTACATATTAAACAGTGAGTTAGTACATATTAAACAGTGAGTTAGTACATATTAAACAGTGAGTTATAACATATTAAACAGTGAGTTATGTGTAATATCTATAATACCTTTATTATGTGTATTGTTGACAGTTCTGTTGTTTCAGTGGCCGTGTCAGACCTGACCTTTACCTCACCGACCTCTATTAAGCTTACCATTGATAAAAAGATGCTAAATTGGCTGTGAATGGAAAGGATGTATGTTTCCATCTTGTCTGTTCAGACATGTGAAACTAGATAGAACATTCTGAACTTTTGATCAGTTAATGAATCAAAGTATAAAGTTTGCATATTTCAAATTGAAATGTTTACTAAAACATGACATTGACAATGTGTTCTGCTTTCATGAAAAATGTTCATATTCCCTCTCTTTAAAATTATATATCATTACTATAAGTCTTTATTTGTTGTATTTTTAAACCTTACATTTTTGAATGTTCAATAATTAAAAGTTGAACAGTTATGACCTCCTTCTGACTCAAAGAGAGAAAGGGGGAGACCACCTGATGCAAAGAGGGAGGAGGAAGAAGACTATAAAGAAGAATGGAGAAGAAGAAACGAGACATCTTTAGGACATTTGACTTGTGAACCTGTTGCTTTTGTATTTTGACTTGGTGTCTTTGTTATTTTTTAGGATTCTTGTAATCCTCTATTTTTGTTAAAACCGGTTTGTACTTTTTACATTTCGACCCAACTCCTGGTCTCTCTGGTGGTTTCTGAAGGTATCTGCTTGGTCTTAGAGTGAGGTAAGAACACCCTTGCCTAGAAAAGGCTGACATTAGTTGATCATTTGTATTTGAAATTGAATAGAAACCCTGTTTAAGTTAAACTTATATTATAGTTTCACATTGGTTACTGTGGTTGAGGCGGTTTTGATTGATGTTGAAATATGATATAAGCTCTGTTGATGTAGTAATGTCACTGCTGTGATATTAATGTTTGACTCTGGCTGTGTTTGATATTACATTTGCATTGTTTTAATTGGTATAAGGGGATCACAATTGGGGGTTAGGGACTGTGGGTCCTGAAGCTGCCTTAATTACCAAGGGGTCTCCCAACAACAGAGGGATTCTCCTCCAGGGGCAGTTTAGATACTGCTCTGGGGTTCTACCAGCCCACCAACACCTACTACACTATACACTCCGTTTTGCTATCCTTGCGGTCGGACATCCGAAGCTGGAGTGCCTAAAATAGGGATACGACGGGCAGTTTTGGTGTTAGAGGCCACGCAGTCAGTGTGTGTGCTGGATGATCACAGGAAACACAGGCAGGGGTTCATTGTACTCACATGTAACCATGTGTATGTTTTTCCATAGAAAGTGATGGGAACGTCGCTGATGTCGATGTTTCCACCAGGAGCATTCAGAGTACCTCTCTGAGAGGCAGAGAGCTCCATCTGGCTGGCAGCAACTGCAGGAGTTCCAGGAGAAACACATCCATCAAGAACAACCTGAACACTCATCGTTCCCTGAAGTCTCTCCTCTGACTTGAAGTGACACCCATCAGTGCAATGAGTGAATAATGATATACTTATTTATTCTGTAAAACATGTGCTCCTTCAGGGTGAATGTATACAGGGTATCTGGGTTCTGTTTCATTCATAAATACAAGTGGTTGAAGGCTAACCCCCTCATTAACTGAAGCCATCAAAATGTTGAATAAGAGTTCAGATTTATATTGATTTCATGGATGAGCTCATGTTTTAAAAGTCTATCATTCAAACATTATCTTGTTTTATTTGCACAAAGAAGACAGTAGAGTAGTGCGGGGCTATTACACACTCGCAGTGACTCTATGCACAGAGGACTTGACTTTGAAATGCATTCATAATGCCTTTCAAACACATGTTGTTTGTCACAGTGAAGCCTGCGATGCTGCTTACCTGCCAGCAGGAGGAGCAGCTTCATGACTCTGCACAGAGGAAGAGGCACAAACACCGGGTTAACGCATGATAACACACATTAACAGCGTACACAATGAAGGGTCCTCGGCAGGAAGTGGTTCATACACTTCCTGAAGATTCAAAACAATGTTCTCTAAACCCGTCAAATGCTCCCTGACTGATTCCCTGATGTCACCAGTTTAGTGATGCAAAGAGGCTGTGAGCAAAACTGAGACATTGAGATAAGAAGACGTACTGGTGGTATTTAACTGAACACATATCTGGAAATCATTTCCCTCAGCTTCACTATTGTCATCCAATGAACACACTTTCACACGTTATGTAAAGAACGGGCCAACTCTGTCAGGGGCAGCACTGTGTACGAGTAACTTCAGGAGTAATGCCAATTCCACCGTGATGTGTAGATGTAACTTTCTTTCTGTGTTGTTAGCGTTAATAGTTATACAATCAGTGTGTTTCTGTTTCAATGCTTTACAAATGCACACACTTGTTACAAGAGCACACCATATTTATATCCTATTGATAATGCTCTCAAAGTGCTTCAGATGAATGAACACTTTTAGATTCATAAAATATAACAATCCACAAGTGATGTGTGACATCATGTTTTAGACAGTTAGGCTAAAACCTTTAATCATGTATTCACAATTATCATATGGAGGTACCTACTTAAATCATTGTCTTACTCCTGCATGACATGTTTAAAGTGCATTTTGTTCATTTATTGAAATGAACCTAGCAATAAAGCCAACTGTTTGGTATATGTTCAAGGTCTCCTGTTATACTATTTTTAGGCATATATTATAGGTTTCAGAGATATAAAAAACATGTCTCTGAAGTGCTTTGCTCCAAAGCCCAAACAGATCATTGCAGCCTCATCCCCCTCTATTTCAGGCCTGTGACTAAAGAGCTGATTCTGGGTCAGTAGCTTCCAACGTACCCGAGCTGCTGCTGGCCACGCCCCTTTGTGAGTGTCCTGACACACCGGGACACATATTTATGTATGAAAGCATGATAGGTGACCTTTAAGTTAATGCAATGAATGTTTTTTTTACAACTTAAAAGTGTTGTGTTTGTACTTAATAAACAAGTTGTTCCTACTCACCATACTAACTTAAAGTGGACCTATCATGCTATATTTGAATAATATAGTGTAGGACCATACCTATATAAGGCATATTTATACTTTTTCTTTTTCAAAATACCAAACAGATCATGCATTTTAGCCATGCCTCATTTCGCTCAATTTGAAAAATGTTAGCTCTGTTTTTGCAAGGGCTGATTCTGTGAGAACAGCACCACCTACAGGCCTGGCATATGTACTACAGCGTCTCCAGCGCTTTCGAACGGCAATGGCCGTGGCTGTCTCCTCCTGATGGGTGGAGTTGGCCCAGTAGCCGTAGCGCCACCGTCCTGACGTCAGGACAGTGTTCAAATCTGGATCAGTTTTTATCAGATCCATTGCAGCCCCTTTTTTAGAGATTTGGGTATGGAGGAAAATAGAGTGGGTTGTGTTTTCTGACACTTGGTGAGTTCCCTGGAACACCGGGGACACATATTCATGTATAAAAGACGTACAAAAGTGCATTTTGCATGATAGGTCCCCTTTAACTTAGTTATTGTGAGGCAATGAGTTTGCATACTTTTTTAAATTTACAACAACTTATTAAGTTTTACTATGTACGTTCTTCTACAGCAAAAAAGTCTTTACCTCTATTAGTCTTCTGTACACTTTTCTGTACCTTAACTACTTCCACATTTTAAACCCACAAACTCGGTTCAAACATCAAAACGTTAATCTCAGTTAGGAATGCTATGAATAATATTCACCATAATTCATCCACATTTCACTTCAGAAGTCAATGGAGAAACTGGTAAGACTCCAGCTGCTACCTGCTCCCCGTACGTTACTCAGAAAGCTCAGCATTCAGCATTCACACGCACCTCTCTTCAGGATTCTCTGTGTTTCTGAGGGGACTGGTCCCTGCAGCGAGTCACAGGAGGCTTCCTGACGGAGATGCAGGACCGTGTGGAGAAACATAAGTGGAGACTCACCGTCTGGAGGTCCTGGAGGTCTGGGGCAGCTTATGCTTCTGTTTAGGTCCTGGTCCTGGTCCTGGAAGTTCTGGTCCTGCAGGTGCAGCTCTGATGTGGCGCTGTGTGTTTGGCGTCTGCTTTTATGCTGTTTCTTCTCTTCCAGCCCCTAAAGACTGATGCAAACATTCCTGAAAACATCTCAGTCTGGTACATTTCAGAACACTTTCCAGCCTCCGAGAAGCCCAGGGCAAATACTTTGCTTTGAGGCTAAAGGTTTCAAACTCAATGACCTCTTAATATCAGTCATTTGTAGCAGCGGCACTCTGAGTGTGTGTGTGTGTGGGGGGGGGGGGGGGTGGTCAGTGACACCATACAGGGAGCTTAATCCACGAGATGAGTAACACAAGTTCAGTAATGAAAAGGCAGCCCCTCCCTCACAGAAGGACCCGCTCTGTGTCAGTCGGTGTCGGCTCATTCAGAGACACACATCCATTTAGAAAAAACTTGCATTACGGATATTTCATGTTTTTGGTGGATTTAAAAAATATGTTCTGGATCCAGATGCAGCACTTTAGCCTGGGGGGGTCACATGTGCAAAGGTCCTTCTCTATGTGCAAATATCCAACCCAGTCTCACAAGAACATGTGTAGTAGCGACGTTGTTCCACAGGGCAAGACGTACTATGTTCACTAATATTGTCTGTTAGTGTGTGAGTGTGTGAGTGTGTGTGTGTGTGTGACAGTGTGTGTGTGTGTGTGTGTGTGTGAGTGAGTGAGTGAGTGAGTGAGTTAGTGTGTGTGTGTGTGTGTGTGTGTGTGTGTGTGTGTGTGTGTGTGTGTGTGTCAATCGATCAATCAATGTTTATTTATATAGCCCAATATCACAAATGTTACATTTGTCTCAGTGGACTTCACAGTTTGTACAGAATATCAGTATGACAATACGACACCCTCTGTCCTTAGACCCTCACATCGTACAAGGAAACATTTCCGGAGAAAACCCACAGTTTAAAGGGAAAAATGGGAGAAACCTCAGGGAGAGCAACAGAGGAGGGATCCCTCTCCCAGGACGGACAGATGTGCAATAGATGCCGTGTGTAAATTTAAAAGACAATACATTTACAACATAGGTAGTCCAAATGTTTGGACATGCATGTGTCTATAATAAGAAGATGAATCCACAAGGATATCCATCCAGGACTCAGGACTCAGGACCACAGCAACAGGATCAGCCACGACTCAGGATCCCAGCAAGGACACCAAAAAGAAATTTGGGGAAGCTGGGTTATTCGGAACATGAGAGTACAGGTACAGACAGAGAGAAGGAAGAAGTAAGGTGTCCCCTGAAGTAAAAAGATATGATTCTAAACTGTATTGAAGTAAACATGTATTATTTTGAATTGTATTTTAGTGAACATGTATTGTTTGAACTGTTTTAAGTAATCACAACTGTTTTAAGTAATCACATATATAGAAATGATATTCTCACTTACAACTCACTGACCCAGAGATCCTGTTTCACACACACACAGCTCCTTTTCACCAGAGAGCACACACATATTATTTTCAAGGTCCTTATGGGCATCATTATATTTGTGCACAAGGTTTAATTGTATGAAAGAATAGTTTATGTGAAAAATTCCATGGGAAAGTAAGGGAGTGAATATCGGGGCAGAGATAAGATTGACTTTGACCTTGTGAAACCTTAGAATCTCACGTTCTGGTCAGAACTCTGATTCGCTGTATTGAACCCGACCAGAAGTGAATCCAACCAGTAAAAACACCTGGGGGATGTGAGCAGCTCACACAGCTCCTCCCCACGGACTCTCTAATTCGCTTTGGAGTAAAAGGGGAAGGGAAAAGTCAACACATCTCCGCCCCAAAATATGAATATGAATACTGTTGTTTTTTAATGTAAAATGCTTCTGGTTTGCTGAAAGCTGGTCTAGAGACGGTAAACCGCATCACAAACCTGGAGTCCATACTTCTCGTTTTCTGAAAGCTGGTCTGTCTACCTGTAAACCGCTTCACAAGCCTGAAGTCCGGAGTACTCTGTATAACTAAGTATACGTGTTTTATTTCCTACCAGTAAACTCAGATAATTGTTATAACTTTTGATTCCGGTGTTTTCAATTCCTTTCTTAATTAAATAGAGATCAGCCTCATTCAACGAACCGCGCGGAGGGGGGGCTATCAGCCACCAGATAGGTGTTCTGCTCCAACACCCCCGACAAACTAAGCCTATAGCAGCTAAACTAGGGGCTGAGTCTAATCAGCCCTAACTATAAGCTTTATCAAAAAGGAAGGTCTTAAGCGCACTCTTAAAAGCGGATAGGGGGTGTTTCTCTATCGCGAGTACGCTTGCTTGGTAGCACATGTCTGCCGAGCATCTTGCTTCAGAAGCGAGGCAAGAATACTTCCTGGCATTCGGAAAACGAAGTGTGGAACACGCTAGCAAGTGTGCAGGTGTGCGTCATATGAGAGGCCCCGCCTTACATCTTCCGCCACAGATTTGGGGAAATTGGTCCGTGCGCAAAGCATTGTGGGGATTTTAAGACCGCAGAGTCTACTCATGTGCAGCCTCGATATTTCTCCAAACGGAGTACGCCGGGCTCGGTAGATTTCCAAGTATGCTGGAGATTGGAACAGTACTTCGGCGGCACTCGATGACGTAGTATGCTTGAAATAGTGGCTCTGTAGCAGCTTTACTCGCGATTGAGAAACACCCAGGGTGTCTGCCGCCCGAACACAAACTGGAAGCTGATTCCACAAATGTGGAGCTTGATAAGAAAAGGCTCTGGCTCCCATTGTACTTTTAGAGACTCTAGGAACAACCAACAACCCTGCATTCTTGGAACGCAATGCCCTAGTAGGACAGTAGGGTATAATGAGTTCTTTAAGGTGTGTGTTTGTCAGTGTGCATCTGTGTGTGTGTGTGTGTGTGTTTGTGTGTTTGTCAGTGTGTGTTTGTGAGTGTGCATTTGTGAGTGTGTGTGAGAGAGAGTGGTTGTGTGTGTGTGTGTGTGTGTGTGTGTGAGAGAGCAACACAGTCTCACGGCATTTCGTGTTATAGTCACGAAATTAATCTATTGATTCGTGTTCACCAACAAGATTTCAACATTTTTTTCGTGTCACACAGAACGATTTTAAAAGCAATGTAAATTAAAGCTGCAAGCAGCGTTGAGCGGGTCTTCGACGCTCCGCAGGCTGTTGTCCGTACGTCGACGTCAGGCAGATGTCTCGAGGACTCGGCCGTTGGCAAACGTGGGAAGTTTCAGGCCGATCGGACAATGTATTTAGGAGTTACAGCAGTATCATAAACATTGTGTTTGATGGCGAGTGATCAGTCGCCATGGCAACGGAATTTGATGACACCCCATAATACGCCTAGATGTGTTGAGGGCTGCATCGTTATCAAACCTGAGACATTTTGGGCCGTTTGGAGCATGTTAACTGGAGTTATGAGAAAACCGTGTTTCACGGTGACCATGTTGTTACCATAGCAACGACATTTGACGAAATCTCAAAACTGACACATATATGTGTGTCGAGGGCTTGACGGTTAGCACACATGGGACATTTGAACACTTTTTACCATTTACACAGGAGTTATAGCAATATCGTGCTTAACGGCGAGGGATGCGTTGCCATGGCAACAGCTTTTGAGGAAAACTCACTATTGTCATATTGATGTGTTGAGGGCCGGACCATTAACTGTCATCTGAAGTCTGGTGCAGTTTGGACCATTTTCCATCGAGTTATGACAACACTGTGTTTCATGGCGAGGGATATGCAACGGCATATGATGACATCCCATAATTGGCGTAGAGCTGTTCAGGGCTAGGGTTAAGGACAAAGGAGCTTCATTCACTTTACATTGGGGTTGTTTGCGTGGTGCAGAAACGTAAATGTAGCAAAGTTCGTGACTCCACCACGCACTGCGGTGTTAAGGAGTCGTGGTGGAGTCACGCATTCTGGTGAGACCAGGTTGGTCTTGCCACATGGCCTTCCCTTGCATAATCTCAAATATTTTGTATTTGTATTTAAGCTACCAACGTGTAACAGAACCATGTCATGTTTGTTGTTCTCTGACACAAAACATCATGTTGAATCAGTCAAAAACAAGATCATTGCCATTGGCATGATGACTTCTGGTTTGGCACACAAAGTTCTGTAAGTAAGTTTCACTTCTTTCGGCTGCTAAACCTTAACTTGTTTTTCACTTATCATCTTGTGTAATCTTTATCTTGTGTTATATCAAGCTTTTAATTCAGATTGACATGTATGGTATGGGTGTTAGTGTCCCAACAATTCTGTATCTTGTGTAAGTGTATCTGATTATTGCAACACAGCAGCTGCAAGAGAACTATCGATTTTTAGCCGTGTGATTCCATGGATTGTTTATTTTGTTATAACAAAGGTCAAATGTTTCTCAGCAGAAAGTTAACCATCCAGTTCAGCAGTTGATATGGGAGCACCAAAAACTGAAGTTCAGGAAAGAGCCAACGCAAAATACTTCTCTGCTCATGTCTTCTGCTTTAATTCCCCACAGCTTCCAATAAATAGTTTAAAAAGTTGTTTAGAATGAGTATGATGCTTTAAACCAAAGTGTTAATGACTGAAAATCCTGGTTAACATTCAGTCATGTGATTTTTTTTTAAAAACAAACAGTTATCAGAATCAGAATCAGAATATAATTATCATACCAGTATATGCACTTGGCTACCAAAACATGAATAGAGTGTGGTTAAAGTATGTGTGTGATGTCATGTCAATAACTAAACTAACATCACCCTTTTCAAAGTTAGATCTAAACATCAGAGCTAGAGATGCTATGAGATACAAGACCACAGAGATGTGATTAGCTATGATATTGTGATACAATCATGGCGTATCTGCCCCTGAGGTGTGAAAGCATTTAAAGACAATGGTGACCTGATAAAGTATCTACTACAGCTGTCGAATGTGTTTGAATGGACTTCTAAGAACTCAGTTTGATTATTTTTCATTATTAACTTCTAGATGATGACCACAGTGTTATCCAATCTTGTTTATAGTGCTTTATAGAACAGCGAATGGGGGCCAAGATTGTATCAAGAGACTTTAAGCCCCCTCACTGTCCCTGTTGATCCAAAGTGGTGGGACTGCAGGGCCCATTATCTAACAAACATGATAAGCTCCACTGTGCAAGTCACCACAGCAGCTGATTGGTTGGGATATTTCATTTGATTTGTATTCGTCCCGCTCATGGTACGCATAGCCAAATGTACAATAATTGCCAACAAAACATGTCTCTACACACCATTGAGCGAAAAGGAGCAGGGAGAAGAATACAATCTTATATGACATGCCCCTTTCTAAAAAAAACAAAAAAATAAATACAAATAGATGGTCTGCCCTTCATAATAAAAAAAAAAGTTCACAGCCACACATAAGAGTACACCCTCATCTGAGTCCTACTGGAGAAGAAGGTGGAAAGCGGCGCCTAATAATAATAATAACAATTAAAGCTGCAAGCAGCGTTGAGCGGGTCTTCGACGCTCCGCAGGCTGTTGTGCGCACGTCGAGGTGTGTGTCTAGGTGTCTCGAGGACTCGAACGTTGGCAAACGTGGAAAGTTTCAGGCCGATTGGACAACGTACATGGGATTTACAGCAGTATCATAAACATTGTGTTTGATGGCGAGTGATCTGTCGACATGGCAACGGCATTTGATGACACCCCATAATATGCCTAGATGTGTTGAGGGCTGCATCGTTATCAAACCTGTGAAGTTCTGGGCCGTTTGGACCATGTTAACTGGAGTTATGAGAAAACCGTGTTTCACGGCGACCATTTTGTTACCATGGCAACGGCATTTGACGAAATCTCAAAACTGACACATATATGTCTTTAGGGCTGTACCGTTAGCACACATGTAAAGTTTGAACACTTTTTTACCATTTACACAGGAGTTATAGCAATATCATGCTTAACGGCGAGGGATGCGTTGCTATGGCAACAGCTTTAGAGGAAAACTCACTATTGTCATATTGAGGTGTTGAGGGCCGGACTAGTAGCCATCATCTGAAGTCTGGTGCAGTTTGGATCATTTTCCATTGACTTAAGACCAGTGGCGTCGCCTGGCCTGGGCATCCGGGGCTTTAGCCCCGAATGTTTATTCTCTAGCCCCGGACAATTCTCCCTCAATAATATAATACATTAACCGTGCTTTACGTGAACCTCATCATGACACAAGAGAGGACGGCAGCACTGTAATTTCCCGTGTTCAGTGAATGCAACAGAGGCATGACACCAGACCAATCAGAGAGTTGCATGGAAATAAACGTGTGCTTGTGTCATTCAAGCTCGGCTCTGTGTGTGTGTGGCAATAGCGCATTTAGTGTGAGAGAGAGAGAGAGAGAGAGGGAGAGAGGGGGATGGAGGGATGCCAGCATGGACCGTGTTGTTAGCATCTGGTTTGCTAGCTGCACTAATGGACATAAGGAGCTGTTTCCACAAGAAGCTGGAGGAGAGTCCTCTCCTCTCAGACTGAGAGACTCAGGTGAGTTAAAGGACTCTCTGAGTGTTTAGATACATAACTTTAGTCTAAGTTATCTCAGTGGGTCTCAAACGGTTTGGTCACAAATTATTCAAAAGATTATTTCCGCGGCACACCTTCATATGATCATTATAGTTATAAAAAAAATAAGAAAATAAAGGAAAAACAGTTATGAAATACTATAAGGCAGTAAAACAAGAATAGAGTTTAAAAGGGCAGTGATTAGTAAAATATCCATAAAGAAAAAGTAAATCTGTTTACAGTTCTGCTTCATATGGGTGTTGAGAGAGGTATCCATAGATCTCTTCATTTTGCTCTCAAAGTGCACCAGATTGATGCATTTAACTTCAATATTTAAAAAAAAATCTTCCCGGGAGAGCATCCTCCCGGAACCCCCCCTAGAGGAGGTGAGCCCCCCACTCATAAAAAATACCACTTTACCCCTGCCTATATGCCGTGAGCTGATTATCGAGCCTTCATTGTAACAGTCGCGGGTGTACTGTGTGTGTGTGCGTGTGGGGAGTGTTGCAGTAGAATATTCCACTGTAGTGCCGCCGCCACTGCGGGCTAAGCCCCGAATGTTTTCAGGTCCAGGCGACGCCCCTGATTAAGACAACATTGTGTTTTTTGGCGAGGGATGCGTTGCCATGGAAACAGCATATGATGACATCCCATAATTGGCGTAGAGCTGTTGAGGGCCGGACCATTAGCCATCATCTGATGTCTGGTGCCGTTTGGACGTTTTTCCAGTGAGTTAGGACAACACAGTATTTCATGGCGAGGGATCTGTCGCCATGGCTACGGCATATGATGACATCCCATAATTGGCGTAGAGCTGTTGAGGGCCAGACCATTAGCCATCATCTGAAGTCTGGTGCAGTTTGGACAATTTTCATAGGAGTAACGGAAACATCGGGTTTTTTTGGCGAGGGATGCGTTGCCATGGAAACGGCATATGATGACATCCCAGAATTGGCGTAGCGTTGTTGAGGGCCGGACCATTAACTGTCATCTGAAGTCTGGTGCAGTTTGGAACCTTTTCCATTGATTTAAGACAACATTGTGTTTTATGGCGAAGGATGCGTTGCCATGGAAACGGCATATGATGACATCCCAGAATTGGCGTAGAGTTGTTGAGCGCCGGACCATTAACTGTCATCTGAAGTCTGGTGCAGTTTGGAACCTTTTCCATTGACTTAAGACAACATTGTGTTTTTTGGCGAGGGATGCGTTGCCATCGATACGGCATATGATGATATCCCGTAATTGGCGTAGAGCTGTTGAGGGCCAGACCATTAGCCATCATCTGAAGTGTGGTGCAGTTTGGACCATTTTCCATTGACTTAAGACAACATTGTGTTTTACGGCGAGGGATGCGTTGCCATGGAAACGGCATACGGTGAGATCTCAGATTTCACATAGAGCTGTTGAGGCATGGACCGGTGATATAAAACTGAAGATTGCTGGACGATGGGACCGTGTCCATTGGAGTTACAGCGACACCGTGTTTTATGGCGAGGGATTCGTTGCCATGGTAACGCCATATTAAGTAACATAACATTTGACGTAGAGCTGTTCAGGGCCGCAGTGTTAACCATCATGTGAAGTTTGGTGGCGTTGTGAGCATGTCAGTTTCAGTTATGACATCATCGTGTTCCATGGCGTTTGATGGGCCTAGCATCGAGCGAACACGAACTTTGGCGCCAAATCACGGCTGCGTCGGGCGACCGATTTCAAAAGGGTCTTCGCCGACCTAGGTCTCAGACCCTAATAATAACAAACTAGAAAATGCATTTCCTGCCGAAAATGCAGAAAAAGCTTAATATTTAAAAGAAAAGGTTTAAAAAACATGTATAGCCTTGATGTCCTGAAATAGCTGAATAATGTAATAGTTGAATGGTTGAACTGAACAAAATCTGAATCTGAAGAAGAGCAACGAGAGCACAGCTCCAATGCAGCCCGCCATTGTTGTAGTTTTTGCCTAAGCTGGCTTTTCTGGAAAATGCAGGGACGTAAACAGTGCTGTCAAATGAACAGGTCATTGGTCCAACATTGAGAACCAACCGTCCGAACTAACCCGGTTCTCATTTCAGTGGAAAGGGATTTTAAGTCCATCCATTATTGTTTCTTATCAGCTGGAGAATGGTTCAGTCTATAAATCCTAAAGAACGTTCTCCACTTATTTCCCATTGCACTTGTTTGACATGGTGGGCCTCATGATGGACACTTTATGAAAAGAGATCCAGATGGATGCACAGCGTCTCGGTGTGTGTGCAGTGTTCCTATAAAGTGATCCTTTGACCTATCCTCCATGCTTTACACATGTGTAAATCCTCCGAGGCGAGCTCCATCAGTGTTGTAGTGTTGCGTCCATAAACCAGACCAAACCGCAGATATCCGGGTTGTCCCAAGTAGAGTTGAGCATTACCCATAATGCAACATAATATCACTGTATGCCCTGTTTTATAAAATACTTCAAGATGTCTAGTATTCCACACGTATTTATGAGAGAGATATTATTATATTTGTACGTGTTTCACCGGCTGAATGTAACTTTACTGACCTTTCTGTGTCATATTGTGAACTTTGAGAAGGATTCATTTCCTATGAGTTTAGGATGAGTGTAAAGTATGTCTGTCTTTAAAAAGACCCAGACTGTGAGTCCCTCTCCATCTGTTCTTTTACATATCATATTCTATTTACATGTATATAGACTTTTTGCACTACTTTTTTTTTCTTTCTTTTTATTATATATGTTGCATCGTTGGAGGAGCTCAGGTCAGAAGAATGTCATCGCCATTTCTACACTGTAGCTTTGTGCATATGACAATAAAACCTTTGAATTGAATGTTGAATTGAATGTCCATCAGGTGCGCTATTCTTCCAGTGGTGTGCACGGTGACGGGCTCCACGGTGATCGGTTTCCACGGAGCAGTGCACTCTGTCCAGGATCGCTGTGCCTACAGTCTGATGGAGTCTGAAGGCAGCGCCAGCTTCAACCTCATGGCCGCTTTCAGGGAGCGCCGGCGTACAGATGTTCCTCTTCTGGACCACCTGATCCTGTCGCTGCCAGGTGTGACCATGTATCTGGAGCAAGGAGGAAGAGTTCGGGTACGTTAGCACATTGTAGTTATGGGGGGTGTTTGCTCAAGCAATGCTGATCATTTCCTGCTAGGAGTTACTTTGTGGTGGTGTATCACAAACCCTCTGTGTGTGTGTGTGTGTGTGTGTGTGTGTGTGTGTGTGTGTGTGTGTGTGTGTGTGTGTGTGTGTGTGTGTGTGTGTGTGTGTGTGTGTGTGTGTGTGTGTGTGTGTGTGTGTGTGTGTGTGTGTGTGTGTAGGTTGGTGGTGAAGCCCTGGTGCTCAGCAGCACAGCTCAGCTGATGCACGGCGTGGAGCTCTCCAAGGACCAGACTGGAGTCACTGCTAAGTTCCCGTCCTCCAACATGACTCTCTTCTTTGATGGCAACAGCGCACATGTGACAGGTACAGAACAGTACTTCCAATCTGGACGGAATAGTACATATTTATTTCTGAATGACAGCTTTAATTCTACCCTCACATCCACCAGGACTTCCTGAAGCTGTAGAGGGTTTGTGTGGCAGCCCCTCCAACTCCAGGTGGACCACCACCCCGACTGCAGAGAAGTCCTCTATCAGCCTCCCTGGGTACCGCTCAGTCCGACTGATATGACCTATTTGTCATAATGTGGATTAGGGTTCAGATGTAATGTGATCTTTGTCTCCCTCTAGCTGTGAGATTCAATACCAGGACTCAGTCGACAGCGCCATCAACTGCAACCGCTCCACCGACCAGTAAGAGCTGAGCCATGAACACCCTCGTCTTGTCATGTCATATAAGCAGCGTTGTTTCTGCAAGATCAACCAATGTAACACGGAAAACTCTTCCCTCTGAACAGCTGTAATCTCATGAGGCAGCCTCCCTTCTCCGCCTGTCACGAGCACACCGACCCAGAGCCGTACATCAGCGCCTGCACACACACTCTGTGCAGATACCCGTTAGTGGATGGGGTCGACTGCCACTTTTTGGAGGCTTACGCCAAGGCCTGCAGCCTGGAAGCCAACGTGACCCTGGAGGACTGGAGGTCAACTTCTGGCTGCTGTAAGATTCTCTATTTCCATTCGAGGATATTGCACTGGAACTCGTGCAGTCAAGCAGACATATTTGATCAAATGTATCCTAAAAGTAACCAGAAGCCAAGGCTCCCTAATAAAATGGGAAAATAGTAAAGAAGCAGATAAATGAATGAAGTTAATTTAAAAGTAAATCATTGTGTGTGTGTGTGTGTGTGTGTGTGTGTATGTGTGTGTGTGTGTGTGTGTGTGTGTGTGTGTGCGTGTGCGTGTGTGTGTGTGTGTGTGTGTGTGTGTGTGTGTGTGTGTGTGTGTGTGTGTGTGTGTGTGTGCAGCCCCCCCCACCTCTCTGTCAGCAGCCCTGCAGTGATCATGAGTTCTGTGGAGAGGTTCACGGTTCGACCCGCTGCTTCTGTCGGGCTCTGTTTGCCTAAAAGTACAAAGCCACCAAGTCTTTAGGTACGGAGCATATCACACCGTTTCCTCTGCTTGCACTGGTCTGAATTAGGGATTTGGTTATTTACCACCAGCCTGCTGCTAACAGCTGTTTTGATGCTGAGCTCTGCCAGAAATAACATATTGTTTAGTGTGGAATTAGAAACAGCTTTCATTATAGTGCCAAATACATTCTGTCAGTAACTCCACTACCCGTTATAGTCCATGTTGAAGTGTCGGTGTGTCGTTGAAGTGTCGGTGTGTCGTTGAAGTGTCGGTGTGTCGTTGAAGTGTCGTTGTGTGGCAGGCGATCCCACGGTCTGCAGGCAGAACTCGGCCTCTGTGGTTCTGGCTGGATGTCTGCTGGACGACAAACGCATCGACTTCTCCACCTTACAGCTCAAAGACCCCAGCTGCAAGGGCCACATGGACCCCCAGAGCCACCTGGTGACCTTCAGGTTCAACAACAGCGCCCCCTGCGGGACGGAGGTCATGGTGCGTGGTTATCACTTCCTCTAGACTCATGGCGGGTTATCTTCAGAGCGTTTTTGGGCAAACGAGAAGCATTTAAAGCTGCTTTAACTGAGTCCTGTTCAGTTGGTTATTGACACCTGCAGCACTCAGAAGAGCTGGAAGGTTGTTCTGCCTCTTTCTGATCGATGGAAGGGAAGGCCACCTGTTTAACTTTAATTAAATACTGGGAGAGCATCTCCTCTAGTTCCCTTTATTGATTATAGACCATGTGATTTATGACCTGGATGGTTTGGACTGTGAACTCCAACACTGACCGTTCTCTGCCAGGATGGAACCGTCAGCAGTGAGCACTGGAATAATGTTGCCGTTAAATTAATTAATTTTCTGTCACATTGCAGAGAAACAACAGCCAGATCGTCTACAAGAACTCCATCATGTTCTCGAACAGCTCATCAGGCGGAGTCATCACCCGCAGAGACCAGTTCCAGATCGACTTCTCCTGTACACACAGCCAGAGGTCAGGAGTGTGTCCTTCAGGATCCAAGAGAGGTGAGCGTCACCTGGTCCTTAACCTGTTAAGCCCGAGAGACCCCGGTACTGGGGCACTGCCTCAACATCTTGCAGGAAACAGTGTCTGAGGGCATGTTCATTTAATAAAACTATGAATGTTTTATATCCATGTAACGGGAAGAAACTCATCTAACTAATCATTTTTTTTTTTTTTTTTTTCAAAAGAAAACCCACCATGCTAACACTGAGCCTCTGAATTAGCAACGAGCGAAAAATGCTAACACCTTACTGCACCGAAAATCACTCACAAAATCTTATTATTTATCATTTCACCACATCCAACACATCGTTTCACATTGTGAGGTGACACAGAATCTAACGGCACCGACATTACCACTGAATTATACGTATTTGTGACGTTATAAGCAAAAACGGACATCAAAACAGGTGACGCTAGGTAGCTAAAAATGCTAACATTTTTACCTTGGCTCTGTAGTCTCTCCAAAGTGGTCTTCAATGGCATTAAAACGATAAAAACGCTGCTGAAGTTAATCCATAGGTTAATCTAATGTGTCTGTGTCAAATGATTTCTGATAATCCATAAGCATTAAAACTGCTTTTCCGTTTCCAGATGTCAAAGCTAGAGATAGGTCCACTCTGATGCAAAATTACATGCGCGAAGCCCCCACCTCTTCTCTTCACAATGTGTGTGTGGGTGGCTCTAACGGTCAGAAAGAGGTGTCAACCATCAAAATTGAGCAAGGGGGGCCAGAGATATGGAAAATCTACCCAAATGACCCCAGAAGTGGTTTCTTTTTGCTAAATCTCTCTAAAAAGGTCAAATGTCACATGTTTTGCATCAATCTTGATACATGGTACTTATTATATGTTGTACTTTGGATTCCTAATGCTTTTAGTCTACTAACCCATCATCCAAGGGTAGTTTTCACTATAAGTAAAAAAGAAGTTTTGGACGGACACTATAATTTACAGTTTTTTACTATGTAAAATCTGAATTTTCTTTAAAATAAAAAACATCTATATTGATTCTAACTTTTCTACATCCAACTCACAGGTTTATCATTACTTTGAGAAAAAAGATTATTAATTTAACCCTTTTAGAAGGGAAGATATGGTCGTTTGTTCTGGGAATGTCATTTTCGAGCCTGAGACCTGAACAACAGGCTCAGGGCTTAACAGGTTAATGTACCACAGATCCAAGCGTCACACTGATAAACTGTGTGTGTGTGTGTGTGTGTGTGTGTGTGTGTGTGTGTGTGTGTGTGTGTGTGTGTGTGTGTGTGTGTGTGTGTGTGTGTGTGTGTGTGTGTGTGTGTGTGTGTGTGTGCAGCTCTGTGGTGCAGCACATCGTATCTGGAGAGTGGAACTACACTCTGACGATGAGCTCCTTCAGTGACGCCGGCCTCCTGCAGCCGGTCGGCCCAAGCACGGAGATCCTGCTGAACCAGAAGGTCTGGCTGCAGCTGGAGGCGGTGGGGCTGGACGCCAATATGGTCACCATGGTGACAGACTCCTGCTGGGCAACCAATCAGGCATCACCTGACAGTAATCTGCGATATGACCTCATCATCAACAGGTGAGGAAACAAACTCTGACTGTTAGAACAAAATAAACTCTGACTGTTAGAACAAAATAAACTCTGACTGTTCGAACAAAATAAACTCTGAGACTTCCTCTTGTGTATTTCCTGTCTCCGGGCAGATGTCCGAACCCTGCTGATGATACGGTGCAAATGCAGGGAAACGGACAGGGAACGTCCAGCGTTTTCTCCTTCAACATGTTCGAGTTCTCTGGAGGAAGCAGTGAAATCTACCTGCACTGCAAACTGGAGCTGTGCCCCACACAGGGCCAGGCCTGCACTCCGGTACACACAGAGTACTAATACACAGAGTACACAGAGTACTAATACACAGCGTACTAACACACAGAGTACTAACACACAGAGTACTAATACACAGAGTACACAGAGTACTAATACACAGAGTACACATACACAGAGGACTAATACACAGAGTACACAGAGTACTAATACACAGAGTACTAATACACAGAGTACTAATACACAGAGTACTAACACACAGAGTACTAATACACAGAGTACTAACACACAGAGTACTAACACACAGAATACTAACACACAGAGTACTAATACACAGAGTACTAACACACAGAGTACACAGAGTACTAATACACAGAGTACTAATACACAGAGTACTAATACACAGAGTACTAACACACAGAGTACTAACACACAGAGTACTAATACACAGAGTACTAACACACAGAGTACACAGAGTACTAATACACAGAGTACTAATACACTGAGTACTAACACACAGAGTACTAACACACAGAGTACTAACACACAGAGTACTAATACACAAAGTACTAACACACAGAGTACTAACACACAGAGTACTAATACACAAAGTACTAACACACAGAGTACTAATAAACAGAGTACTAATACACCTGTGTGAAGATAGAGTAAACACAGAGTACTTACACACAGAGTAAAGCTAACTTCCTGTCTGTGAAGCTAACTTCCTGTCTGTAAAGCTCACTTCCTGTCTGTGAAGCTAACTTCCTGTCTGTGTACAGAGCTGTGGGGGGGCAGCTCGCAGGAGGCGTAGATCTGCTAAATACGCTGATGGGAACGCGGCCCTCATCACTATGGGATGGAGAAACTGAAGAGCTTTGCATGGTAGGTAGCACCTTCATTTGTTCTTCCTAACGAGTTCCTTGATTAACACGATGTTTAACGAGTTCCTTGATTAATACGATGTTTAACGAGTTCCTTGATTAACACGATGTTTAACGAGTTCCTTGATTAACACAATGTTTAACGAGTTCCTTGATTAACACGATGTTTAACGAGTTCCTTGATTAACACGATGTTTAACGAGTTCCTTGATTAACACGATGTTTAACGAGTTCCTTGATTAACACGATGTTTAACGAGTTCCTTGATTAACACAATGTTTAACGAGTTCCTTGATTAACACGATGTTTAACGAGTTCCTTGATTAACACAATGTTTAACGAGTTCCTTGATTAACACAATGTTTAACGAGTTCCATGATGAACACAAAGCAGCAAAGTATAGCTGATTCCTGACGGTGGAAATGAAGGTCTTGTTGCTGTGAAACTGAGCCGGCACATTATCTGAGATTATTCCTGAGGACTCCAGTTATTCAGAGTGTTAACTTCTTTATGATGTGGCGGAAATAATCAAAAGGGGTTTGTTTACTATGTGCACTAGTATATATATATCATTTCTTCTTTAATATACTGTCTGTTTGTAAATGTGCACAGCCTGAAAGCTACCTGAGTGTTAAAGAAGGGAAACAGGAAGTGAATGAGAACTGAAATGTGGATGACTACCCAGGAAGAGGATCAGATCAGATGTAATTCCTCAGAGCACGCTGTTGTACTTTTATTATGATTTCATTACTATGAGCAAAACATGCATTACTTTATTTAGTCCAATGATAATAAGATTGAGATATGTAACATCTTTAGGGGAATAATAGAAGTGAAGCATACAGCAGCATTACGCAACAACATCCCCTCCAATGAAACACACAGGATCAGCTGATACGAGGAACTCCTACACAACACAAGTCATTCAGTGAAAGATCACCTCTCTGCCATTAGACCCAGATTAGATGAGACGTATTACCTGTCACTGCTGGCAACATCAGGACATATACGAGTACTGCTCAGATCAAATGACGGTATAGCCAAACATCGATGTATTATTTACAATGATCCCAATCCACAGCAACATGGTCTAAAACTCTACGCTCATTTGATATATTTGTTTTTCCAAGAATAAAATGAAGCGCAGATCAAAAATGAAAACACGAAGAAGCACAAAATATATATATATATATATATCATTTATTCTTTAATATACTGTCTGCTTTTAAATGTGCACAGCCTGAAAGCTACCTGAGTGTTAAAGAAGGGAAACAGGACGTGAATGAGAACTGAAATGTGGATGACTACCCAGGAAGAGGATCAGATCAGATGTAATTCCTCAGAGCACGCTGTTGTACCTTTATTGTGATTTTATTACTAATGGAACCAAAAATAATTAATAAAGTGAGTGGGAAAAAGAAACATGAGTCTCAGTCGTATAGTCATTGAGTGTGTGTGTGTGTGTGTGTGTGTGTGTGTGTGTGTGTGTGTGTGTGTGTGTGTGTGTGTGTGTGTGTGTGTGTGTGTCTGTGTGTTAATGTTTGATCAGCACTGCCTATTTTTTTATTCGAGTTTGGGAAGATTCCGCTTGAAGTTAAGCACAAAATGGCGTCCGTCTGTTGTAAAAACGATCTCAAAGCTAGACAGTGCACTAAAATACATTTCTGCAAACTTTTGAGTAGAGAAATAAACAGGACAGTAACAGAATCTTGAATAATGTTTGATCAGCACTGCCTATTTTTTTAGTTTGATCCGAGTTTGGGAAGATTCCGCTTGAAGTTAAGCACAAAATGGCGTCCGTCTGTTGTAAGGCCAGAAATAAACAGTTGTAGAGCCGATGAAAGGGAGTCAGAGGCGGTGTGTTCAGTATGGAACTCCACACTTTATTATCCATTAGACAGAAGACAAGGTAAGTAACATCTGCTTGTTGCTACTCAAGCTAGCATGAATGACACCAAACCCGGTACCCTCACTAACGGGTCCGGGTTGCAACACAATAATCCCAACGGTGAATTATGTCCGTCCTTCGGGGCTCTGTGAGCGGGCAGAGAGAGGTGGATTTCCCCCTTGTCTCTCCTGGAGGTGTGAAATAAACAGAGTCCCACTGTTAGGGACACCTCTTGGAGGTCTCTAGGCCGTCCTCATGATGTGTCCTGGGTCTCTGAGACCCTGCTAACACCCTGCTGCCTGCATTTAAACAGATTCACCAGTTTATAACATTACTTTAGCCCTGATCAGAGCCCTGTTTTCTGGGTAAGACAGCGAGGTGCTGTACCCTGGGTCTCTGGGTCAATGGGTCTCTGAGACCCTGCTAAAAGCAGTGAGTCTGCTGCCTGCATTTAAACAGATTCACCAGTTTATAACATTACTTTTGCCCTGATCAGAGCCCTGTTTTCTGGGTAAGACAGCGAGGTGCTGTACCCTGGGTCTCTGGGTCAATGGGTCTCTGAGACCCTGCTAAAAGCAGTGAGTCTGCTGCCTGCATTTAAACAGATTCACCAGTTGATAACATTACTTTAGCCCTGATCAGAGCCCTGTTTTCTGGGTAAGACAGCGAGGTGCTGTACCCTGGGTCTCTGGGTCAATGGGTCTCTGATGGCGCATTTCCACCATGGCGCGGAGCGCGGTTTAAGCGTGCCGTGTCGTGTGCCGTGCCCGTTTTTGGTTGCGCTTCCACTAGGCCTAGGTACGGCCTGGCCCGGCCCGGGGCCACTTTTTCACCTCTTTCCTGGCCCGACAAAATTGTGGTTCTATCGGGGCCAACAAACAGGGCTGAGTCGAGCTGAGTATGCTAAACTAGAGAGAGGATCGCTGGCAAGGGGGCTACAACTACAACAAGATGGACATATTTGACCGTGATTTAATTGTAATACACGTTTCAAAATGATGCCGAAGTAACAACATACTGATACCGGTTAGTAAAAACCATGAATTAATGCTTTGGCAAGTTTGCAGACAGACGGCAGGCGAAAAACCTTTTAAAATGCGTGTTTTCTAGATGGAGATTGGCTAAGCTAACGCAGTATATGCTCCGACCGTCCACACTCACAACAACGGCCTATACAGACATAAATAAAGCAGCGACTGTATTCACCATGACACAGGCAGTCTGTGGTGTGTACTTGTTTAACTTTTGTCGAGTTTCTGAACATATATAAGGAGCTGTGAGCTCTGAGTGCTAACAGCTAACGGCTGTGTTGTTTTTCTGGGGTTCTCATTGAACATGACGTCACGGCTCCGCCTACACTGCGTTACTATAGTAACTACCCCAGTTCCTAAACTGTAATGGAAGCGCAGCATGAAGTGAGCGGGCCCTGTTAAGGCCCAACGCGGCCAAGCAGTACCGAGCGTGGCCGAGGCCGACCGTGTGGTGGAAATGCGCCATGAGACCCTGCTAAAAGCAGTAAGTCTGCTGCCTGAATTTAAACAGATTCACCAGTTTATAACATTACTTTAGCCCTGATCAGAGCCCTGTTTTCTGGGTAAGACAGCGAGGTGCTGTACCCTGGGTCTCTGGGTCAATGGGTCTCTGAGACCCTGCTAAAAGCAATGAGTCTGCTGCCTGCATTTAAACAGATTCACCAGTTTATAACATTACTTTAGCCCTGATCAGAGCCCTGTTTTCTGGGTAAGACAGCGAGGTGCTGTACCCTGGGTCTCTGGGTCAATGGGTCTCTGAGACCCTGCTAAAAGCAGTGAGTCTGCTGCCTGCATTTAAACAGATTCACCAGTTGATAACATTACTTTAGCCCTGATCAGAGCCCTGTTTTCTGGGTAAGACAGCGAGGTGCTGTACCCTGGGTCTCTGGGTCAATGGGTCTCTGAGACCCTGCTAAAAGCAGTGACTCTGCTGCCTGCATTTAAACAGATTCACCAGTTTATAACATTACTTTAGCCCTGATCAGAGGCACTGAGTAAGTGCTTTGAACAAATCAATGTCTGGATGTGTCAGAACTTTCTCCAATTAAACAAAGATAAAACTGAGGTAATGGTTTTTGGAGCCAAGGCAGAACGTATAAAAGTTAGCGCTGAGCTTCAGTCTGCAATGTTCAAAACAACAGATAAAGCCAGAAATCTAGGTGTAGTCATGGACTCTGACCTGAGTTTCAACAGTCACATTAAAACAGTTACTAAATCAGCCTACTATCACCTAAAGAACATATCTAGGATTAAAGGACTAATGTCACAGCAGGATTTGGAAAAACTTGTCCATGCTTTTATCTTCAGTAGACTCGACTACTGCAATGGTGTCTTTACAGGTCTCACTAACAAATCTATTAGAAAGCTGCAGCTAATTCAGAACGCCGCTGCTCGAGTCCTCACTAACACTAAGAAAGTGGATCACATCACTCCTGTTCTGAAGTCTTTACACTGGCTTCCTGTGTGTCAAAGAATAGATTTCAAAATATTGTTGCTGGTTTATAAAGCTTTGAATGGTTTAGGCCCAAAATACATGTCTGACCTACTGCTAAATTATGAACCATCCAGAACCCTCAGGTCTTCAGGGACTGGTCAGCTTTCTGTCCCCAGAGTCAGAACTAAACATGGTAAAGCAGCATTCAGTTATTATGCTCCGAATATCTGGAACAAACTCCCAGAAACCTGCAGGTCCGCTGCAACTCTTACTACTTTTAAATCCAGGCTGAAGACTTTTCTTTTTGCCGCTGCTTTTAATTGAACTATTCACATCTTAAACTGCACTGTAACTTTTAACTTTTATCCATGTATTTTTTCTTTTAATGTTTATTTTATTATCTTTCCTTTTTAATGACTGATTTTAAATGCCATTTTTAAAATGTCTTCCATTTTTGTAAAGCACTTTGAATTACCTTGTGTTGAAAGGTGCTATATAAATAAACTTGCCTTGCCTTGCCTTGCCTTGGGTCTATGGGTCTCTGAGACCCTGCTAAAAGCAGTGAGCCTGCTGCCTGCATTTAAACAGATTCACCAGTTTATAACATTACTTTAGCCCTGATCAGAGCCCTGTTTTCTGGGTAAGACAGCGAGGCGCTGTACCCTGGGTCTCTGGGTCAATGGGTCTCTGAGACCCTGCTAAAAGCAGTGATTCTGCTGTTTTTAGCTCATTGTACATTTAACTAATTAAATATTATGAATATGTACATTATCCCGTCTATACTGACACATTTATGTCCATAACTCTGCATGTTTATTGAGTCCAATGTACACCGTCTAAAAACGACAATTGTGACTGAATTAAAACAGTTTGACAGCATTTTAACACTCATGTAGCCATGTTTGCAGCCCTGTTCCCTGGGTAACAATTGAATTACCCTCTCCTGTTGAATTAAAACATTTCCCACGGCTTTAAACACTAATATACCCATGATTCAGACAATTATTCCTGGGTAAATGTGTTATCTTTTCACCCTGGTCCTGAATTAAAACAGTTCCCCCGACTTAAACACTAATGTACCCATATTTTGCCCACTTATTACTGGGTTAATATCTCATATTTTCCCCCTGGGTGTGTGT